TGTAATATATTATTATTTTAAAATTTTTTTAGATCAACTTAGAATAAGATTGAGTAGAAAACATGGGCCTTCAGTTTCTTGAGAAGGCACTAATTTAAATCTTAATGATAAGCAATTAAATATGGCAATACAAATTTAGTTGAGAACCACCAACATAAATATATGGAGTGAAATCTGTTATTCCTCCAAATTTTATTTTAAATACATTTTATACACATATGGCACAACTATCTAGCAAGTAATTTTTAAAATATGCATTGGAAGTTAATAATCAAATTGGATAAATATTCTAAGAAAAATTCAAGAACACTATGTTAGGGCTTGTGATTGCTGGCACTTTTAAATATATATACACCGGTGAATGTTTCCTTCTCTATTTTTGCATCTTCATAAAGGTAGCTTTGTTGTTAAAAATCTGTATTTTTTGCAGATTTTAAAGCATTTTTTAAAATTCTTGGCATAAATCCAGTGGAACTTAACTAACAGGAAGGATTATAAGAAGAACTAGAGCATGTGGGAGGATCAAGAAGGACAAGGCTGGCCTACACCTATGCAAGTCTGTGGGCAGGTTCTGCTCTATCAGCTACCAGCTGTGTTTCCAAGTCTTGTCTTCTGTGACTTTGGTGATTTATCCCTAGTTCTCTTTTTGCTACTTTCAAACCTCCCAAAAATTGTTCAGCTGTTGAAAAGTTCCAAAACAAGCAAATGTGTTCCTGGAATCCGACCCTTAACTTTGCTGGAGAACATATACTAAGGCTTCTTCTGCAGCCAAAATAATAAAAGATCTGTTAAGTGGCTGAAATTCTTGGTTGATTGCACATACATGCCAGTGTCAGACAACTATAAATAGAGAGATTTGAAAGAAAAATAGGGAGAGCCTTTATCACTCCAATGCAGTAAAGTGGAATGTTTTGAAGGCAGTCAGGAAACAGTACATGCATTTATAAAATTAAGATTTGTGTCCCTTCAGCCCCAGATCCCCTTGGAGCAGGAAGAGCCCACCCAGATCATGCACTTCCAGGATAAGGGAATAAACTGACTTTCTTTTCTTTATTGATGTATATTTATTATTCCCAATCCTATAATTAAGATTTCTTCTTTATATTATCCTTTTTGAGTTTAGATAGCTGCTAGGTCTTTTGATATTTTTCTCCCATCGGTGCTTTGTTTGCCCAGAATACTAAAAAAAATCCTTCAAAGGATGAAATTATGCCCATGGTTACTGGTGTAAATGAAGTCAGCAGGGAGTTGTATGGGTGTTACCTAGGGCAAAGTTGGCCCCCAAATAATCTGGGTCACATGTTATAGCCCTTCAAAGAGACTTGAGGATTCATTTCTCAAAAAAAAAAAAAAAAAAAAAAAAATCCTTATTCTCCCAGGCAGGTGAACATACCCACTGGCTTTAATAGCTGAGTTAATAAATATTATTAAAGACATTGTTACTTAATCTTGAATAGTGACTTACTTCTTTATGTTAACCTACCCATCTTTTATTAACCCATCTAAATTGAATTCAAATTAGTCTTTGCAAATGAGTTCACTCTTTTGAATCTATTACTGCTGCACAAGAGTATTTACCAGTTGCTTCAGTTTCATAATTGTGCTGTAGACAAGCAAATGTGTTTGCAGCGATGGAGAAAGTCAGTGGTTGCTCAATAGGGTTTAAGTGCAGTGCTTCCGAACCCAGACCTCACTCTGAAGTGGGAGTGTTGAAATGTCAGTGGTGGTTGCAAGGTCACAGGTTCACGTGGGGGAAGAATCAATAATCTAATTAATGTCTCTGAATTCTCAGTTCTTTCTAAATTGCATAGGATTTGAACTGCCCGAGGCTAGGGTTTGTTGGCTCTAAGGATTCAGTATGTAACACTGGGATACCAGAAAGTAATATTTTAATATTTTTTTAGTGATGATTTTCTCACTTAGTGTTTTCTGAAATAAATCCTTAAGGCAACAAAAATAAGACTTACAGGAACTTAAAATCAGCTTGTTTCTAAACAAGTCATATTGGTCATTTAAAAAAAAATTAGCTCAAGCTCAGCTTTTAATATTTTACCTAAAATGTTTTCAAAGTAATCTAAGGTTGGGACTCAGTTTATTAAATAACTTTGAATTAATTCTCAAAATTTTAAAAAGCATATATGATGGTATAGATGAAAAGAATATAGTTAACAATTCTATCAACTGATTAACAAAAACTTCACATGAAAATGTAATACTGCCTTCAGTATTTTAGACCTTATTTTTAGTTGAAAAATTATAAATCCTATGTCCATTGAAAATGCAAGTAATAAATATCTCTAAAGTAATTTCTTAAAAAGACACTATACTCTTATTTTGTAAGCAATAATATTCCTAAGAATTCTTATTTGCCCTCAAATGTAAAAGCTGATATCTTGAACCTTTTTAAAAAATTTAAAGATTGAGTACAACACACATAATTTTTTAAATTTCTAAAGCAGCACTACCCAGATTGCACTTCTTAATTTTTGTCAATGAAATTACCTATTGTTATTGTGACATAAATGATAGCTTCCAGAAAAAGGAAAGCATCAGGTCGTAGGTGGTCAGATTGAAGTGAAACAATGCAAAGTGTGAGTTCTACTTCAATTTTCTTTTTCTCTTTGGGAGACATTAAATAACCTAGTTTCTCCTGGGACAGAGTAATGTAAATGGGCAAACAAGTCTTCTCTTCTCACTATGGAATGACTGAACAAGAAAGGCACTATTCATTGGTGTATATATGTTAGTGTGCCCATGATGGCAGGTGCTGAATACAACTGCAACAATGAATGACTGAGGGTCGCAAGTGTAAATGGTGAGGGGTCATATTCACAAGAAGACAGTGGAAGAAGTATCAAGCATCATCCAAAGACCTCCTCCACATCCCACCCCCGTTTGTTGTAGACTATATTAAGTGGATAAGAATTGTCATCTATTTTCATGGACAATTAGGAGGACATTCTAGCTTTGTTAGGCTGAAGGAAGGAAAAGGAGTTATCTAAAGTGGAGGCTATTTTCTATAAATGACATTATATGTAAACTAGAGAGCTGGTGCACGAATTTGTGCACTAGTGGGGTCTCTTGGCCTGGCCTGCAGGATTGGGCCGAAACTGACTCTCTGACATCCCCTGAGGGGTCTCAGATTGAGAGAGGGCGCAGGCCAGACCAGGCCAGGCCAACGGACCCTACTGATGAACAATGGGAGGTACACTGGAGGTTAGCCAGCCAGAGTGGGACTGCGAGAGGGCTCCAGGAAGTATCTGGCCTGTCTAACTCAGTCCCCAGCAGCAAGCTAACCTACTGGTCAGAATGTCTGCCCCCTGGTGGTCAGTGCACATTATAGTGATAGTCAACAGGTTGACTGTCTGTCCCCAGGTAGTTAGTGCATGTCATAGCAACTGGTCAACTGTCTGCCCTCTGGTGGTCAGTATACGTCATAGTGAGCAGTTGAGTGGTTTTAAGATACCATTAACATATTACGTTTTGATTGGTTGAGTGGATGACTAGACAGCCAGACACTTAGCATATTAGGCTTTTATTATAAAGAATGTGCCAGATTTTCCTGTTACTTCAAAGATAGGGTTAGAGATTCAACTGCCTTATAATGAAATTTTTCATAAAGTGGTTAGTTGGTTGAACAAAACTTTTTCAGCAATTAGGAGAGAGGGATGTGTTTAATCATTTCATTAAGGTGGAAACTATACACTGTATATATTACCTGATGCATGAAAGCACATAATTAAAATGTGTTTAACTGATGATCAGTGGTGGTAGTGATGGGGGTGAGGTGGTCAGTAAAAGGGTGAGGAACACACACAGAATGTGCCCAGCATAGAACATGCCTCCCTAAATATTAGGGAGATATTTAGAACTGACTCCTCCAATGACAAATGCAAGGCCATGTGTTAGACAAAAATAATTACACTAGAGTGTTCTTCTAAGTATGAATTTAATAAAAATAAATGGCCATATCTTTCAAGTAAACCACTGCAGAATTTAATGTATAAATTCCATTAGTTCCTCATAATAAGCTGTCCACTGTATCTACTGACAGTATTGATTCAAGACATTGTTATTTAAAAAGGTTCTGTTTCACTTTTTATTTTCATAACTTATGGCATCTATAATTAAAATGTAATGACAGTAAAAAGTGAGGTAATAACACTAAATTCCCCAGAGACAAAATTTTTATGAAAAATTATAGTATATTTTATCAAAGGAGTTCTAGTTACCTTTTCCCTAGCATAGTGCTTGAAATGTGATACCCACTATGAGATGAGTGACTCAATTACTCTGCCTTTCAACTTTCAATGATTTACTAGCAACTTGGCTTGCAATAAAAGACCTTTGAATAACTTGAGTAACCCAGATCTACAGATTTCATCAAATTTTGAAACCAAGAAATAAAACTATTTTAACAAGGTCAGGTGACAGAACAGAAATTAAATAAATGGAGTGTAAATTCTTGGAGTGATGTATGTACTTAGTTTTCCCATAAAGGTTATGTGGGAAATAGGTGAACTGAAAAAATTTGAAAGATCAATTTTATCGAGCTCAACAGTTGTCACCAATCTTATTTAGATGATAAAATCAGTCATTATATTGTACTTAATAAATGCTATTTTGCTGACACAAAAATGTTTCTTGAAATCTAGTTACAAGATTGACCAAATGAATTTTAGGATTTATAACAATGAAGCAAGGCTACATTGCTCTAGGAACACAAACTCGTCTATACAACAGTGTTGGTTCAGTCTGAAGACGGTGGCTGCCACTGTTAGGGCTCAGTAACTGGTTAATGGTTAAATGAATGGATGAATGAATAATGAAAAAAATGTCATGAAAACTTATCAGGAGAGTCTTAAAACTTATCGGGAGAGAGAGATAGAGAGGGAGAGGGAGGGGGAGAAGGAGAGGGAGAGGGAGAGGGAGAGGGAGAGAGAGAGGGAGAGGGAGAGGGAGAGGGAGAGAGAGAGAGAAACAATCTGTAAAAGACTTACTTATTCCAGGCTTGTCTAAGGTGTTTAGAGCTGTACACAGTAAAGCGTTCTGAAATAAAAGAAAAATGATAAACACTCTGTTGCAAATGTATATATTGTTATACTGTTCAAAAAGTATGTCTAGAACTCAACTTTTAAAAAGATAGTGTTCGAGTTAGCCATACTATGCTAGCCAGAGTAGGGCTCCACCTTTGAAAACAGGAACATCTTAACATTTTAAACAATAAAGCGTTTTTTAATTTTGACTAGAGTGATTTGCTTCATAATCTGGTTTTGTAGTCATTATTTATCAGAATAACAGAGTTTTAATTGGGTTTTAAAAATAAATATAAATTCCAAACTGTAAGTAGATTTACAGGAGAACATTGATGTAACCGTAAATCGAGACCTGTTGTTTTCTCTATGAAGAGATCGCTGATCAAATACAATACTGTTAGTTCTCCTTTCTTACACTCTATGACATCTGCAGTTCCTCTAGGCCAGTGGTCGGCAAACTCATTAGTCAACAGAGCCAAATATCAACAGTACAAGGATTGAAATTTCTTTTGAGAGCCAGATTTTTTAAACTTAAATTATACAGGTAGTTACATTGTTATTAATTAGGGCACTCTTAAACTGTCCTTTGCTAAAAACTCAAGGTACCAAAGAGCCGCATGTGGCTCGAGAGCTACAATTGCCAACCACTGCTCTAGGCTGAATTATCAGTGTCCTATAGTGTATATTTATCACTGAACAACTTTATGTTTTTTCAATTAAAACATAACGTTTGTTTTAACAAGTTAAACAATGAAGTGGCATAGATATTGATAATCTCTCCTGCTCTCACTGTTCACTTCTGATGATACATTGAGTGGCCAAATTATTATGATCTCTGAATGCATAATAATCTGGCCACTCAGTATATATATATGTGTGTGTGTGTGTGTGTGTGTGTGTGTATATATTAGAGGCCCAGTGCATGAATTCGTGCATGGGTGGCATCCAGCCAGCCTGGCCAGGGGGAGGGGACATGGGCAGTTGGCTGGCCTGCCTGCTGGTGGAACTCCTGGTTGAGGGGACAATTTGCATATTAGCCTTTTATAATATTATATAGGATATGCACTGAGTGGTCAGATTATTATGCGTTCAGTGATCATAATAATCTGGCCACTCAGAGTATAGCAATAGTTAATGGCTTCATATGTCTCTTTCCACATAATTCTTATGTTAACAAACACAAACCCATCAGTATATACACTAATTTATTTTTTTTAGATAGATTGTACAATAACCATTCTCTAAAAGATTTTAGGCATTTAGCAAAATACAGTGGATAATCCTCCAAATCAAGAAAATAGATGTAACAATTGTTATAAAACTCCATTAATATTCCATAAGATAGAAGTACCATAAATTATTTGACCATTCTCAGCTGATGAAAATTTAGGTAGCTCCCCATTCCTTTCAGCTTAAAAACAATGCTTTAGCAAATATTCTTGCACATCTATCTCTATACAATGATGCCCTCATATCATCTCTGTTGGATAGAGTCCCCAAAATAGTAGAACTGCTTGGAAAATTGTATTTACAGTTTACATTTAAGTAGGTGATGACAGGTCACTTTTCATTTTCCCACAACAATGAAGAAATAATGTTTCTTTAATAGTATGTATCCTGGATGTAAGAATGATTCAACATATGAAAGTCAAAAATATAGATCACATCTATAGGGAAATATCACATGATTGTCTCAATCAATTCAGAAAAATAATTTGACAAAATTTAACATCCATTCATGATAACTCAATGAATTGGATATAGAAGGAAAGTACCTCAACACAATGAAGTCCATATATGACAAGCCTAAAGCTAATATTATACTTAATGGTGAAAGGTAGAAAGCTTTTCCTTTAAGAACAGGAACAAGACAAGGGTGCCACTCTCATCACTCCTATACAACATTGTAGTAAGTGGAAGTCCGAGTCAGAGAAATTAGGCAAGAAAATAAGTAAATGGATAGGCAGACAGACAGACAGATAATTTGGCATGCAGAATGGAAAGAAGCAAAATTGTCTCTGTTAGAAGATGACAATTTTCTTTGTTTTAAATATATTTTTATTAATTTCAGAGAGAGGGAAGGAAAAAAAGGATAGAAACATCAATAATGAGAGCAAAAGAATCATTGATTGGCTGCTTCCTGCATGCCCCACACTAGGGATTGAGCCTGCAACCTGACATGTGCCCTGACTGGGAATCAAACTATGACCTCCTGGCTCATAGATCGATGCTCACCACTGAGCCATGCTGACCAGGCTGCAGATGACAATTTTCTATACATAAAATCTTAAAGATTCCACCAAAAAAGTTAGATCTAATAAACAAATTCAGTGAAGTTGCAGAATTCAAAATCAATCTACAAAAAATAGTTGCATTTCCATATACTGACGATTTATTCAAGAAAGAAATAAGGAAAAACAATCCCATTTCTAATAAAACAATAAAATACCTGGGAATAAATGTAACCATGGAGCTGAAAGATCTGCACTGAAAAATATAAGACAGTGATAAAAGAAACTAAAGAAGATACAAATAAATGGAGATATTCCATGCTCATAATTGAAAAAAAAATAATATTGGTAAAATGTTCATATTACCCAGTCATTTATTGATTTAATGTGACCCCTATTAATATCCCAGTGACATTTTTTATAAAAATAGAAAAAATAATCCCAAAATTCGTATGGAACCAGAAAAGACCCTGAATAGTTGAAACAATCTTGACAAAGAAAAGAGCTGGAGGTATTTTTCTTCCTGATTTCAAACTTATTAGGAAACTAAAGCAAACAAAACAGTATGGTACTGGCCTAAAAACAGACAAATAGACTAATGAAAGAGAAAGGGAGCACAGAAATAAATTTATGCAGATAAAGCCAACTAATATTTGGCAAGGAGCCAAAATACTCAATGGAGAAAAGACAGATTCTTCAATAAACAGTGATAGAAGCTGGATATTTATATGCAAAAAAAAATTAAAAATAAAACTACATATCTACTTTATACCACTTACAAAAAATAACTAACGCCCCCCCCCAAAAAAAAAACACACACAAAAAAAACACACAAAAACCTAAAGATTTAAATGTAAGACCTGAAACCATAGAAAAAAAGCAGGGAACCTTGCAATGATTTTACGGATACAATATACAAAGCACAAGCAACAAAAGCAAAACAAACAAGTAGGATCTCAAGAAACTAAAAGCCCTGCAGGAAAAAAAAAAATCAATAAAATAAAAGGTAAGCCACAAAATGAGAGAAAATATTAGAAAACCTCATATCTGATAAGCGGTCAATCTCAAAATATATAAAAGCTTTTATAACTCATAGCTAACAAACCCAAAAAGTCCAATTTTAAAAATGGACAAAGGACCTAAACAGATCTTTTTTCCAAAGAATATACTCAAATGGCCAAGTGGTACAGGTAAAGATGCTCAACATCGCTAATCCTCAGGAAAATGCAAATCAAAACCATAATGAGATATCTCCTCACACCTGTTCAAATGGTTATTATCAAGAAGACAAGAGGTAAGTGCTGATGAGGATCTTGTACATTCTTGGTGGGAATGTAAACTGATGTAGCCCCTGTGGAAAATGGTATAAAAGTTCCTCAAAATATTAAAAATATAACTACCATAAGATTCAACAATCTCATTCAAGGAGGGGTAATTGTCAAATATTTAATCCTGCAAGGCACAGGCATTGACCAATGAGTACAGAAAGTGGCCACTGCTATAATGATGTGCATTCACTGAAGATCGGCTTGACTACAAATATCATTGATCTAAAGCTATAGGCAAAAGTGCTCACCAACAGAATAACCAATGTTTGGATTATTATCTAGTAGATTGAATTATGTAAAATGCAACATAATTCAGCTAGTTGGCGTAGAGCAGGAATTTAAAGGGATATTCTAGGTTTGGCCAACTAAGGAGAAATGGGAAGAATAGGTCTTTCAACAAAGGTGTGTGTGTGTGTGTGTGTTTTTAAAATTATTATTATCTAAAGTCTAGCATTTAAAAAGCAAGATATATTTTAAAAATTAATTACACCAAATGTCCTTGTAAAACAAATTTGATCTCCTTAACTTTGTACTCCTCACAAAGCAATTTTAATAATTCACTATGATTTTGGAAGCAACAAGAATTCCATTACAGATAAAATTAATACAATCTTACATTTACAAATAACTTATTATTCTTGGCAATTAATGACTACACATAAATATTATTTCAAAGAATTGCTTCTATTTAGAGCTTGACAGGATATGCTAATAGAAAATTATTTTTCCAAACTACAATATGTCAATTTTAGCTGTGCATAAAAGAGCCAAAATTGACAATAAAACATGCCGTATGAAAGATGAAAAAAATAAGAAAGAATGAAGTCATTTACAACCTTTCTTCAAGTTACATAGACTCTTCTTTTAGCAAGTGTCACTGGGCACTTGCCCGCTGTGCCAGGCACCTCACTGGGCAATGGGCACATGGCAATGAGGAAGGACTGATTCTAGTTCAATGGCAGCAAAATGTAAATGCAGAATTACAAGCACAGGATGAAAAGTGCTGCAATGTGGATAGAGACACAGACTCTGGAGATCCCATAGGCACAGCCACTCCCTGCATCTCTTTCTCTTCCAAACTCAGACAAGATAAACTCAGACATATGAAACCAGGAGGAACACCGGGACCCAGTGTCTTGTATCCAACAGCATCTTTCAGAGCTTCGCTGCTCAAGTCCACCACTTCCAACAGAGTCCTTTCTAACATTCTCTGCAAGGAGCATACATTACATTTACATTGCATTTAAAAACAACCACGATTTCCATCACAAATAAAAAGAATGTTCCATTGGAATGAAAGCAACATCATTTGCCCTGTAAGTTTTAGGAACAAAAATGGTTTAACAATGGTGCCCCCAAATGAACAACAGGTGTGTTTAATAAAATAGCTCTTCATCTGCCGAGGGGGGACTGCATCACGTTATTCGAGTATTTGCCTATGTGTGCTTTACACT